TTTGGTTTGAAATTTGTACTGTTTCTATCAATAAAGTTAAGGCTTGGGTGAGCCCAGTGGATGTGTGGTCTCTTCCCCACAAAGCATGAAGGCTGCAGACAAGAACAAAAACTTACTGCCTTTCAGACCTCAGTTCCTGTTGAAAAGGTTTATCGCACAGGTCCCTCGTCTTAAAACTTGGCGCTTTTTTTTTTTTCTTGTGAGAAGTTAATGTTCTGTAGCAGCGTTTCTCAATCTGTGGGTCGCGACCCCTTTGGTTCACCCCTTTCACGGGTTGCCCAATTCATAACAGTAGCAAAATTAGTCATGGAATAGCAACAAAAATAATTTTATGGTTGGGGGTGCACCACAACATGAACTATATTAAAGGGTCTCCCAATTCGTTCAAATCTCCCGTTACAGAGTTTAACCAACTACTGCTTCATGGTGGTGCTAGACAGGTAGTACGAGTGCTGCCATCAGTACTGGAGTCCTTACACAAGGACATAGCTAGCTACATCAGTTCCCCATTTACCATTCCTTATTCTTTGCCTTCGACCTTATTTTTCCCTGTTCCACTTATGAAATTCACTGCTAATTATCCCCCTATTTCCACTGTGATTAAATGTATTATGGAATGGATAGAATAAACCTTTTAAGGAGGAGTTACACTGAGCAGTCAACAAAACTTAAGTGAACAATGACATGTAAATTTTTATTTTGTTAATCTGGACAGCTGAACATACCAATTCAGTAGTTTATACGTGTACAATTTGGTGGCTGATTGCATTCTTCAAAGGGTGTAACCATTCATAAAACCCTCCAAATTGTTCCTCGTTAACTGTGTCCGTAAGGTTCCTATCATTTGAGTTAGCAACTTGAGCCCTTAGGAAAACTGTCACAGGCAGACCTCTTAGTAGTTAAACTATTTCACAATTTTAAGGCCTCATTAGTTGGTCATTTTGGTTCACAGTTTGAAGATTGTCTCAGCAATAGTTTCAAGACTCAGCCACCCCACATGACTACAGAAATTGTTTTGTTTCCTCCTCCATTTGACCAGGAGTCATCTGCAGAACCTCTCATCAAAATGTTCATTAATGGTAGCCCGGCACCATTCAGTTCTGGACTTGGGCAAAGGCTGGAGACAATTAGCCACACATTTCATATTCTTCCTGACTTTGTTGCTTCCGGTGTTTAGAGAGTTGTACCTTTACAGTGACATTACAATCCTGTAACAGACCTGATCTGTAATAATAACACGTATAATTCGAAAACCATTAATGACGACAGTATGAATGAAACATCCCCCTAATCCTATTCTCAGGAAACCACTATGGCCTGGGTCATTTCTATGCATGAGTAGGTCTTAATAGGTAGCTAGATATCCAAAGAAATTCATATTCTGCAAACTAAAATGATGACATGTCCCCTACAAATTGCTTTTCAGTTCCAATTTTGGTTACGGCAGTAGATGAAACCCTATCCATTCCCTTTCTGGCCCCCTGTGGCCTGGATTTTATCTCAACCACCCCACTTAAACAGGCCTCACAAAAGTCAAGTCCTATGAACTTCTCACATGGTTGCATTTGTCTTCAAATTTACTGATGCCGTTCTCTTGAATTCTCAAGATGGGATGAAAAGAGGCTTTTCCCCAGCTTGTCTCCCCCAAGTATATGTCAGACCTAGGACACTGCTTGCAACTAATGGTAAATGATTGTCAGGTTATCTCCAGCCATCCAGAGCAAGCAGACTTGTGTGTTCCATTGGAGGAGGGGAGCTCACTCCCCGCTGTTGCGGACAGTGGACTGTTTTCCCAGAAGGGCTCAGAATGAACACCAGCTCAAGGACAACCAAGACGAGGCTGCCATCCTGAATCTAGGATCCGTCCATCTTGTCACGTAGACCCCTAATCTCTCCTCTTCCTATTGTGTGTACACCCCTAGACCGTCCCCTCCCATTGCTGTATTGCCTATGATACTACCTTTCCTGTGACATATGTCATTACCTATAGTTGGGGCTTGCACACCCCCAGGTATACATAAGCCTTGGTTAGAAATCTCTTGCCTCCCTCCTTCCACGCTCTGCGCTGACCTAGCTGCTGAGATCATGGCCGTCCCGGAGGTGAGCATGCTACTATAAAATGTTGACTCCTTTATTTTACTCTCTCCTATTTATCTTATTCTCTATGACTTTACTATAATCTTTATGTATTATAGCCGTACAATTGCGCCTATGGGCCCATAATAATTGTCAGGGGCTGGTTACCCTGACACTCGAGTTTGGTTAATCTTCAGTTTCAGAATGCCCAAATCTTTGCCACCCCCACAGTCATTAAGTTTGAACCCATCGTTGAAGCCACCAGGTCAGGCCATCATTAAGGCTCCCTTTTTCATAGTTCACCAAGTATAATGTCCTTTTCCAAAGATCAGCCTTTGCAAATAACGTCCAAAGTACAGGAGGAGAACTCTGTGCTCTCTTCTAAGCAGCAGTGTGGCTTCTCCAAGACATTTGTTGTTGTGGCAGTCGCTGGTGCATTCATTAATCTTTGCCAACACGGAATCATTAATCATATGCATCGGTTTGCTCCAAGAATTGATGCATATGAAGTGATTTTTTTCATGGTTTAGTCAGGTTCACTTTAGTTTTCAAACTGATCTTGCTCTTTAACACTTTCAAGATGTCTCACCAAATATTTCCCCAATACAAAAAACCTCATTTCTTTACTGCTGCTCCCATGGAGGTTGATTATGGATCCAAGGAAAATTAACTGACAACTTCCATCTTTTCTCTGCTTATTATGTGTTTAGTCCAGTTTTGTTTACTTTGAGTTGCAATCCATATTGAAAGCTATAGTCTTTGAACTTCATCAGTATATGCTTCAAATCCTCTTTTCAACAAGCACAGAGTTAAGCCATTTGCATATGGCAAGTTGTTAATGAGCCTTTCTCCCATTCTAATATCCCAATCTTCACAGAGTCCGACTTCTTCAGTTATTTGTGCAACATATAAATTGAAAAGGGATGGTAAAAGAATATAACCCTGAAACACACCTTTCCTATTTTAAACCAATATCCTTATTCAGTTCAAAAGACTGCTGCTTGGTCTATGTGCAGGTTTTGCATGAGCACAATTAAGTGATCCACACTGTTGAAAGCTTTTTCGTAGTAAATCTTTTTCCTTTTTGGTATTCTCTACTTTCTGTTAAGATCCATCTAGGGTCGGCAATGATACTCCATCATTCCATACTCCCTTCTGAATCTGGCAGAATTCCTAGCATCTGCCTGTCAATGTACTGCTGGCTGAAACTATTTTTGAATTATCTTCAGTAAAATTTTACTTGTGTGTAATATTAGTGACATTTGATAATTTCCACATTCCATTGGTCAACTTTCTTTGGAGTGTGCACAGATATGGATCTCTTGAGGTCAGTTGGCAGAGACAATTGAGTGCTACCAGCATTGCATCAGTTTCTTGAAACATCTCCGCTGATGTTCTGTCGATTCCTGGAGCTCTTCCTTCAATACTACTGGTTCTTGTTCAAATGCTATCCCTTGAAATGGTTGAACATAAGTTGATTGGTTTTGGTCCTGATCGATCATTCTGTATTCCATACATCTTTTGATGCTTCCTGCATCATTCCATATTTTGCCCATAGAATCCTTTCCAACTAGGGACTTGAATTATTTTTTTCTTCA